TAAGAAAATTTGTCACTAGCTTCCATATCTACAAGAATAAAATCCTGCACAAAAAGCATTTAAGGTGAGCATTAATTAAATTATAAATATGCTTAATAACTAAATCGATACTTGTCCCAAAATATTTTTATTATACAGGGTGGTTCAAATGTCAGGTTACAATGGGATATTTTTCAATGCGAAAAATTCGCAAATCTCCATTAGTTACCGATATTTTGCCTCCGAAATTCAACATTTTAACAATTTTATCATCAAAAGTGATCCATAAGTTTTGATAAAAAATAATAAAAATCTCAATCCCAAATCCGTAAATAATGGAAATTTACGAATTTTTCTCATTGAAAAATTTTCCATTGTAACCTGTCATTTAAACCACCCTGTACATTTATCATTATTAATTATTATTTATACATTTGCATTGCACATTTTGAAGTACTTGGATTGATACTAATTTATTTTCTTTTATATTTATCTCGTCTTTAGAATGTTACACCCGCTACTTGTCACCCTCTCCACAATAATATTTACCTCATTTCGACGGATATTCTCCCTCCTTTCCTCCCAAATACCTCAAAAAATTCGAAGCAATCTCATCATTCCTCCACCCTCCCCGAACCATAGATCGGAGTACTCCGGGCTTGGAGTACGTACTCCGGGCTTGGAGTACGTACTCCGGGCTTGGAGTACGTACTCCGGCCTCCGGAGGCCGGAGTACGCAGCTTTTTCTGGAGGCCGGAGTACGCGGAGGCCGGAGTACATGTGGCCAGCCGGAGGCCGGAGTACGCGGAGGCCGGAGTACGCGTGGCCAGCCGGAGGCCGGAGTACGCGGAGGCCGGAGTACGCGTGGCCAGCCGGAGGCCGGAGTACGCGGAGGCCGGAGTACGCAAAATATCCGATCTATGCCCCGCACCCCACAAGAAACCATCCCCCGAATTGGTTACCCGGTTTACCAACACTGCCCAAGTCTTCATCCCCTTCCTCCTACCCGGCCTTATCTCTCCCTCCGACCGACTCCATTTATACTCCCTGTATAAACAAGCCACCTCCGGGAACTGTCCAATATCCCTGCAAAATCTCCGCCGTTCTAAATTGACCTGGCTCTCGCTCCGCGGAATGCCCGCCTCCCGAGCGATGGAAGAATACGTAAATTTCTACGAAACCATGGCACGCAAAGAAGTCGAGCATCTCACCCAGCTCAATTACGCGGGTGCAATTACCCGGGATTTTAAAACCTTACATAACTTTACCCCCATCCTCCATCTCGGGCACATCGTCATCCCGCTAAACCAGCTGCCCCCTCGTCTCTTGAACGAGTACAATTCCGCCGTTAAGACGAAATACATGGCGGCCGGGCGGGGCAAGGTGGCCTATGACGAGGGGGCAATGCGCGACCCGAGGCCGATCAGTGACCCACATTTTCTCTCAATTTGGACGGAAACCCATTTCTCTAAATTAGTGACACACCTTTCCCCGGGTAGAGTTGAGTTGGCCCCATACCGGGAATTATTCGGACTCTGCGCAAACTCAGAAGACTATCTTATCGTAGACTTAACCGGGGTGCAAGCCATCCCATTAAGAAAATCGGATAACGCAGTTCTCTCTCCGTGCGTCGTACTTTTAAAACTTTCCCCTTCTTCCCAACAATTAGTAGCTATCGCAATTGAAAATCTAGTTGAAACACAATCAAATTCTAGCAATTTAAACATGCCGCCTTTTCCCTCTGTTTTAAATAACCTTCGCCTCCTCCACCCCGCCGATGGGGTGGCCTGGGAACTCGCCAAGTTACACGGGGCCCTTAATGCCAACTATATTTCTGGGATGGGCCTTCACACCGTGTTATATGCCGCCCTGGCGGGCCCTATTTCACTCACATTTGAATCCATGGCGGGATCCTTTTCCCGCCCAAATTCCGTGATTCGCCGAATTTTTGAGGTCCATTCCTACGTCCATTGTGGCGTGGATTCTAACGCGTTCGATTTTAAGGAGAGCGTCCTCTACGCAGAAGGCTCGCCGTACTATCCCTGGCCGGCTGACACGTCAAACGGCGGGATTTACAATGTGGCCCGGCTAATTTGCGACGGATGGGGGCAAACTGAGACGAACTCTCACCCGATCTACGACACCTACAATAATTCCAGGAAGGAGAACATTATTACTTACACGGAACATGAGGATGTCCTCCCATTTCGAAAATTTGTTAATAGTTTTATCCCACCGATTAAGACCTTTGTCACGAAAGTGGTCTCCCTTGTGGGGCGGGATGAGACTGAGATGGTCTATATGTCCGAATTCCTGACCACCTTAAGGGACAAACTACCCTCAGAAAGCTGGGTTAGGACGGACCTAGAAAAAAATTGTTTCGATCTAAATGATAATTTTTTGGAGGGGGAAACGCTTATCGCGAAACTTTTGAACTTTTTCATCTTTAATGCCGTTCTACATTGGTGGAGCATTTTCTCCTGGAAAGTAAGCAGATGAAAGATTTTCATGGAATTATCAGGATCGGGGTGGATTTTGAAAATACAAAAACCCGTCGCGAAGATATTTCTGAATGTATGAGGAAAATCAATAGTGTGGCTGACAGGTCGAAAATGTACCTAATGAATAACATGGTCTCGTATCCGCACTTGAGTAGGAACTTTGCCGATTTTTTTGCAAAGGAGGGAGGATATTTTGGAAGTGGGGTGTTTTCCAGTAATAATTTTTCTTTGGATAGGTTAAAAGTATTGAAATCTTACCAGGATGAGTTTGCCGATGGGTTAGAACGGGTGTTTGAAGGGAAGGGTAACACCGGGGTTTGTGCGAATATGACCCTGTCCGATTTAGGGGTTAGTGTTCAAAGTTAAACAGAAATAAATTGTTAACATTACATATAAATACGTGGTAAAACTTGAAAATTAGATATATTAATTGTATACATATATATGAAACATGTTCTAGACTAATTCATTTCAAATTTATTTAAATACTTGATTCAGATGTTGTAAACTTTTTAATACAATTTATTTAACTCGGAATCTACAGTGTAGATTCTACACTCCTAATAAATACATTTTTGGCATATTATTGATTATGTGTGCATAAATTAATATCAATATATTCCCTTATTATGATCATCAATTTTAATGTAGAAATCCCAACGGTTTATTATATTCACCTGGAATATTCATATCCGGTCTAATCTCTCGTTCAACGAGGCGACTAACGAAGCCGGAATTATCATTCTCCAGCAACTTATTTAACTTGCCAAGTTTGTGAGATATGCGAGATTTCGCAAAATCTTTGTTGAGGATTTTACTTCGCAACTTTACCAAACTAATAGGATTTTTCACACACAGCAAATAGGCAGGTTTCTAAATATTTTGCAAAATTATTTCGCCAAACTTTGTTAAATAAGGTTGCTATGCTAAATAAGACGTTGTCCTGAGTTCGTTTATTGTCAAAAAAAAAATTAAAACTATTTCTCATGTGTTTTCTGTTCTTGGGTGGCAATTATGTTTAGGAAGAGAGTATGTTTTCGTGATTTTAGTGAGGAAAAAAGCAATCCACATAACTTTTGGCTTGTCGAAAACTAGTGTAGTGAACCTTGGTTTAATCAAACAACATAGCTATGTCTCTGTGTTGAACGTAATCAAATATTTGTGCATTTTTGTAAAGATATGTATGTATGTATCTGGGTGCATAAATACCTGGTTGCATTCCACAGTTTATGCACGGAACAGTGTTCCTCAAACATGTTTCTTGTATCGGGGAAAAAACGGGGTGATTTTTGTGTTTTATGTGCACCTTCTACGAGATATGCAATACACGGTAGTATGTATGTAAAAAAAAAAAAAAAAAAAAAAATTTACCCATGAACAAATGATGAGACAAAAAAACACTCCGTCAGGAACACTGACACGCAGGAGCAGTGTGAGAATCAGATTCCAAATATTGGGTAAGTCTGATGACTAGATTCACTTCAATATGTACGAGTACGTAGGTTTGTGGTGGCAGTGGCATTGTCGCAAGAGAGAAGAAAAACGAATAAAAGTTAGCATTTCTTGGCAGTTAAAGAAATGCGTTGAAATACAAAGGTTGGAATTTCAGAAAGATCAAATAAAAGTTTGCCTTTCTTGGAATTTCAGGGAGATGCGAAACTGTGTAAGTTATTGGCTAGGTTAAGCGAGGTTGGGGTTGAAGACGGGCAGGGTTCCGGTGAGTAGAACTGATGATAATGAAATGGAAAAATGGTGAATGTTGGTCTTGTACTATTTTTTGCATGGTTTTAATCGACAAGAAAAAGTAAGTATCTGTATTTGTATTGTGCAAATTTTTGATTTTACAATTTCTGCTAGTTTTTTTAACACTTAATGTCACCAAATAATTGTAACGTAGGCGTCCTGGTAAAAAAGCGTGTTTTCATTGTTAAGCTGCTTAATGACCACTTTGTAATACAAAGTTTGTATGTATACAAACATCAGGTAATAAACGGTATTGTTGAAAAACACGAAAAACAGGTAAACATAAATTATGGCACGAAAAACACTATTTGAGGAACACAGTCTGAGTCACTTTCTTTGTGACTCGGACGGTTTGTATGTGACAGAGACTGTTTAATAGCGCGACATGGTTTACAAAAAAAATGCACCAAAAAATTTGGCACAGTATGAAGTTAAACTTGATCTAATCTATTTATACAGGGTGGTTGTTATGTCTCTTTACAATGGAAAATTATAAATAAGAAACATTTGTGAATTTCAATTTGTTCCGTTACGTTCTCCCCGTGAAATTAACCAAATAAGATTTTTCATATTGGTAATTTTCCTAAGTCCTTGGACTTGATGGAAATTCCGATTTTTTTTACATTGGAAAATTTTGAATCGTAAGGAGATATAAAAACCACCCTGTATGCATCAATGAAGCTTGGGCTAATTAAGTACTTTCCAACGAGTGTGCATTTTTGTGCAAATTTGTATTTATTTAATGCCGAGATTTTAACAGGATTCACTCTTTCTTCACCGCTTTGTAAATATCTCAAACTCTTTGGGTTTTCCTTTTCTAAAAACTTTTCTATTTTCTAAGAAATTTTTGATTCAGGTTATTTCTCCTCAACATCTTTTCCATAAACATAGGTATGAGTAATAAATATGTTGAATTTAAATTTTTTGCTCACATTTTTCCAGAAATGAATAAAACCCCAGAACAAGAGAAAGTCGAGGTGGAAGCTGCCTTCAAGAAAATGGAATCCTACAACCCCACCGATAAAACGATTAAGGTCGCCGACTTTGAAAACTTGTTGGTGAAAGCGCTCAACTATCCGACTACCCCGGAACAAGCCGCCATTTACAAAAAGATGTGGGACGGCCCGTTCGGCGGGGTAATTCCGCTCGACGTCTTTCCCGACAAATGGGTCGCCCGGGGGGACGACGTGGAAATGATGAGAATCCTGATTCACGCGATGGATCGAGATAAAAACGGATTTGTCGACAGCGAAGAATTGCACACGATAGCGAACGCTTTATTCGCGCACAATCCAAGTTTTCGCAAAACCGATTACGGCAAGTTTGTCGTGGAAGCGGATACGAATCAAGATGGGAAAGTGAGCATTGAAGAGGCCGTCGTGTGGTTTGCGAAGGAAGGGGGACGCGCTTGAAGATTTGGGGAAGTGGGAATAATGGAAAATTTAAATATCTATGAATCTGCCTCGAATCTATTTGCATGGAGGTTTCAAATTTGGGAAATAACAGTTTAGAATATTGGGAGAAATTTAAATTTAATGAGTTTTTTGGAGGTGGCAGCATTTACGAATTTGCGAGTGGAGAAAAAGCGTAAGGGAGTAGAATAAATTTATATTTAAAAATATAAACATTAATTCTCCGGTTTCGTAATTAATTTTAAATATGTCATAAACTATTTATAACAATTTCTAACATTCTTTAAATTTCATGAGCCGTTCCGAAAAATGTCTTCCACATACATAGCTTGTTTATGCTAGTAGTTTCTTATTCATAGGAGAAAAGAAAAGTTTTTGCAAACAATAAAGGCTACAGGAAATTGACATCAATAAAAAATTCATGATTATGCATTTTATGTAGAATAGGTAATTACACCGGAAGGCGATCCTTACAGTAAGCAAAAATTTAAATCGTACCCTTTTCGGTGATGTCATAAATTAATGGATCTCCGCTTTATTTAAATCGTTTCGGCTTATGTAATACATCCGTCTTATAGGAAATTTAATGTAGATTCCGAAAATCATATTCATTTTTTGATTTTCCTCTCCGATTATGCACCATTAATTAAAAAGTTGGTCAGCATTGAAAATTCATGCAAATAATTAAATCGTACCCTTTCGCTTTTTTGATCATCTAATTCTCCCACACACTTAAAAACAATAATTCTTAAACAAAATTCGATTGATTTACAGTTTTTAATATTTTTATGTAAAAAGTTTCAAATTTTTTGACTTTGGTGCTGCTAGACATCCTGCAAAGTGAGGAGAAAATAGCTCTATGTTGTGGAACGATATAGGGTTTTTTGCTGCATTGGAAAGGACTATACAACTACGAAATTGCATTCTGGGCGAAGTTTTAGGAGCCTACTATCCAATTCATTGACCAAACATGGAAGAAAACTGGATTCTTGGGTAATTATCCTAGACGCTGACACAAAACAGCAATAACCAAGGGCGAGCATCGAAATATAATCAGTAACATCTTGACCAACTGCGGACTTTTGGTCCCGAAAATTACATCTGAGTTGCAAGAACAATTCAACAGAACGGTTTTTACTCAATCAACCAGAGCCTGAATCGGGAAAGGGGCTTTAAGGGTCAAAGTGGGAACAAGAAGCCATTCATTTATGAGTTAAATATGGGGCAACGTCCTAAGTGGATCCTGGACCTAAGCGTTAGTATTCTGAATGACTGAAAACGTGTCAATCAGCATGACACAATCATATTCAACATATTTAGGTCAAATGCAGTCGTGAAGATGTGGAGGAAACCTGGAGAAGACCTTAAACCCAGATGCATGAAAAAGACCGTGTAACGTAGTGAGTGAATTGTGATGGTTTGGGCCCTAAAATTTTGGAATTGTGTTGGAACTTTATCTTTACTGAGTCAATCATCAACAAGGAAGGCCAGCAGACAATTCTGTTGGAAAACCAAGTCCACAGAGCGAGAAAATTGAGACTCATGTTGAAAATAATTTTTCACTTCGATGCAGATCCCAAAAATGTGCGAGGTTTGTTAATCGGTATCTCGAGTGAAAGGGAATTAATGGTCTTCCGTCAGTTGCCTGACCTACTGGGGTCAACCCCATCGAAGAATTATGGGCATAATCGGTGATTAGGATTTCGAACCGAAAATCGAAGCCCAAACATGACTTGTATGTTATTTTAAGCGAAGTGTGGGTAAATGTCTGACCGGAAGTGACAAAGAATTAGTAGAATTCATGCCTCGGCGTGTCAAAGTTGTAGTTGTAGTAAACCGAGGCCTTTCAAAGTGTTAATTAATTATTAGACACAATTGTCATTAAAAACCCGCAAGGGTACGATTTAATTTTTTGCATGGATTTTAAATCTTTCCCAACTTTTTAATTAGTGGTTCATAATCGGTAAATAAAAACACAAAATGCGTGCCATTTTCGGAATCTACGTTAAATTTCCTATAAGACTGATGTACTACATAGTAAGGATCCATTTCCATAAAGCAGAAAACCATGGATTTATGACATGACAGAATAGGGTACGATTTAAATTTTTGCTTACTGTACATACAAATCGTAAGCTTGGACGGAAATGTGTTCTAATTTAGCTTGTCTAAGGAGGTCTAATTGTCTACCACTCCCTCCCAGAATTTGACGCCCTTTCAATAAATTGTAGTAGCCCATAAATTGACAAAAATCCCCCCAAGGATTTTACCCCATGGCCCCATTTGCGCCTGCCACACCCACTCAAAGGAGAGTCAAACACTAAACTTACTGGATTGAAACCTTCATCGTATCCGATATCAAAATCAAGTTTTTGAAAATTTTGATTTTAAAAAAAAATATTTCCTGACCAGGCTTCGAAAAAATTGACATTTAAAAAAAAGTTTAGTTTGATATCGGATACGATTAAGCAACTATCTAGGATCCAAATTATGGAAATCAGATCAAAATTTGTATGGGTGAAAAGGAGGCTTTTTCGTGCTTTTCGGCCCTTTGATTACATGATATCTATTTTTATTTTATCGATAAATATGAATGGATAAATGTATGCATACAGAATGATTTGTGTTTCGAATAATTACTGTACACCCAAAATGTGGGATTATTTCAAATAAGAATTTATCATTTCTTTATTATTTGGCATTTCTTTTTCCTTTGATAAAATATCTTTGCTTTCTTAGCAGCAGAACTTAGCGATTCGTAACAATATGAGTTGTTTCTATTGTTTCAGCCTCGGCCAATATTGTAGCTAATTCTCCGACAAATGTATGCACCACAAAAATCCCAATTAGCCGAAGAATATTGAAGAGGACCGTCATCCCTCCGGTGTACCCTTTCAGTCCGAGAGTAGATGCTCCCAGAATGTTGAACAGAATTACCACAACGGCCAAATTTCTCCAATATTTCCCTCTTCGTATCCCTTCATCTAGTCGAGTTTCCTTAGTGCATTTAGAAAAATAAAATTTATTGCTGGCTAATTAAGTAATATTAAAAGTCATTATCTTAGTACCAGCCGACAAGCCTTCGCCATTTTGTAAGCGGTCCACAGCGCGGCAAAATGAAGTATGAATGCGGCAAAAACAAGTGGCACGGCTAGCAGTATAAAATTCGAATTATTTTTTCACTAATCAATTAATATTAAAGTTATTAAATACTAACAATGCGATGGTGTGAAGTGTAACTCTCCGATTTGGTTGAAATTTTGAAATTATGTGGTCAATATCAATACAGCCAACGTTTTCAGGCAGTTTGTTTGCAGAATTTGCCAAAATATTTGAGGGCAAAGTTGAAAAACTTTGCCTTTGACTTCGAAAATTGCAGTTGAGTTTGCTTCCTCTGCTTGATAAAAATTGCATATTTTTCAACTTTGACCTCTCATTTTGCCAAATTTTGACCATAGCACAAACTTCCTCAAGAAACGTTGGTTGTATTGACGTGGACCACATAATTTCAAAATTCCCACCAAATCGGAGGGTTACACTTCGAACCATCGCATCGTAAGTTTAAATATGCCCTCCTCACTATAAATCGGACTTGCCACTTTATGTGTTCCTAAGTAAAATCCAATAATGTGAAATCCTACTTCCCCCCATTTGAGCAAATTAACCGTCGTCATTACCTGTTGAGGTTGAGATTTATGCAATAACGCAATGAATGAACCATGATAAAGATGTAATTTTTAATTTAAATAATTTTGTGAATTGAATTGACTCACCAAATCCGAAACGACAGCAAAAATTGCGGCATCTCGATACCTCGCGTCTTCCATTGTCGTTTGTGCAATTAAAAACAATTGATGTCTCTTTTTCTTAAAGTCCCAGGTTAAATGGAAAATTTAAATTATTTGAAAATTTGGCACATTCGATGACAAATTTGTATCTTTCAAAATATCAGATTTATTTATATTATTGGAAGACAATTATATAAATACATTTTAATTCAGAGAACCAAATAAACAAATATTTAAATGAATGCAGCAGCTGACTGATAGATGGATCTATTTAGAAGCGAGAGGTAGAGGGAAAGTGGAAAGTATTTACATGTGGAAAGTTAACCTGTGTAAGTGAAAATCAATACTTGTGGAAAAAACCCGGAGAATATTGGAATGTCTTTTCAAAGCCCATTACATATTCCTCGTGAAGTGGGGAGCCTCTTCACGAGTGATTGATACATATGTATAAGTTCAATTCGAATTATGTAGAAGTAGAATTTTACGTAGTAGATAGCTTCAGTTTGGACCAAATGTCATATTCCAGAAGCTTGAGGTTCGGCGACAGTGAATTCTGTTCTTGGTCCGAAATGGAGTCAGAAATTTTGGAATTCTACCCTCTTTTTACGATTTTGGCCTTATCAGAAGGTCCTGAGCCCTGTCACCTGTTGGAATATCTAGTAGCTATTTTTTAGTAGTGTGTGGTTTAGTGGTACTCTCATTCGCTCGATTACCTCAAAAAATAGTTTTTGACAAAAAGAGTCACCTCCGGAGGAAGAAAATTCACTTTTTTTAACCAAATCCAGTTTATGCCGAGTAAAAAAATCAGAGGAAAATTTCGCTAACTAATGGAGATTTACGAATTTTTCTCATTGAAAAATTTTCCATTGTAACCTGACATTTAAACCACCCTGTATACAATGCAAGGAAGGTACATAATTCAAAATTATTTTTGAGCCTGTAATTAAATCTAACTTTAGCAACGATTTATAGTCAAACTTTACCAATAAATATGTTGATACATTTCCGACATAAAAAATACGTATCTAACAAGTCTTGTATAATCTTATTAGCTCACCCTGCGCAGCACGGGAGCTATTGAATTCCCCTTGTCCGTCCGTCCGTCTGTATGTTAACGACCTTTTTTTTGCAACAATTGATGCTAATTAAAATGTCCCTGGTCCATTTTTTCATAAATTAATAGCACAGTTGGTATCTGACACTCGGAAACCACAAATGATGCGAAAGAATTGGGGCTTTGATGCATGACGCACCAATAATGCTTACTACTCGGTAGATTTTATTAGACAATTTTGACATAAATTTTTCAAAATTATCGTTGCTCGTTGGTAGGTAATTCTGCACCAGTGATGCACAATTTTTGGACTCTTCTCGATGCATAATAATTATTGATCTATTTTGTTTAATTTTTCTGCACCATTGGTGGAACATTGCATAAACATTATTGATCCACTTTGGTGGATTTTTCTGCACCATTGGGGCATAATTGCAAAAAATTATGTATCTATTTTGTTGCATTTTTCTGCACCTTTGGCGCAAGTTATAACCAAATCATTATTACAGGGTGAGCTGCTTCTAACGTTACTACGGTTTATTTGTTTATCTATATGCCTGGATATTTGGCAGTTTGCGGTAACTAATTACATATGTATTCATAGTTATACCACTTATGTAGGTATATTCGTTAATTACATATCCACCCAAATTAAGCTTACTTACAATATCTATATATGTTAGAATAAATGTAATTTGTTTCCAGGAACACATTTTTCAGAATACTAATTAAGGTATATATGTAAGTATCTCTGCTTACGTAAAATATTCTCCGAATACCATTAACGTTAAGTAGTCTAATAGAGAATCTAAATAAAACGCAATATAAAAAATCCAATTCCAAAAGTTGGAATACCATCTACTTTTTATTCGGTTATATACATATATCTTTATTCCTTCGTCCCATTTAGTATTACCACAGCAAGACTAAGGGTTCAAAATATTTTTGAAATTTAGACGAAACATTAATAAATATTCTCACATTTAATATTTTTAAATTGAACCATTTTAATTAGTGAAATCCCCAAACCCCTTAAACTTGGCTCACTGTAAAACCCTAAATTCAGTTCAAATCAGGCAAGAAAGCTCCCTTGGTACAATGCTTCTCCAAAAGAAATGTGCCCCAACCCCCCATCTCTTTATAATTATTTTAACCTTAATAAACAATTTCACGATATCGATAGGAAAAAGTAACGACAAAAGTGCTGCAACTTGGCCTTCATTTTTAAAAACATTGAACTATTGCACAATTCAAATATTTTATTCTTACTCAGACTACCAAAGTTGGGACATTATTTCAAACGAGATACAAAACTTAAAACTTCCCAATGTTAATTTCGTCTTGGAAAACACCCTCCCTCCAAGTAATAGATATTCTCAAGTCCTCCATTTAAAACTTGGTGACTACTCCATCTATAAAAATTTCCCATTCCCTGACCACAATTTCGCCGAAATTTATTCCAATTGCCACACGGCCATGACCTTATCACGGATAAATCCGCGATCCATAATGACTGCAATGGTAGCATTTAACGAAGACCCCAATTACATAATCCACATTAGCCCGTACCACGAGAGACGAAGATTTAATTCCTATTTCCGCTACTATTATAAAAACATGTTGACATCAATCTTGCTCTATGCTAAAGTCTATCCTTCAGGGTTTAACACCTTATCAATCGTATGCTATACTTGTACGCCCCCAGTAAAATCAAAGGGTTTGATTGATGTACAGAATTACGTAAAAAAATTGATTGTCGTGACAAATGTGAGAAACATCTCCAAGTTATATAAGCAATTAACTAAAAACTTGAATAAACACTTAGTAGAATTTGTTACTCGTCACAAACTGTGGGACGATTTTCCCTGTAGTTTTAAACATTCCGGCCTACACACGCCCGGATTTACTTGTCCCATGACAGAATTACGGTTTAGATACAACTTCACAATATTAAGGGTGCCGAGCTCATACCCAAATAGGATAGGGTGGGTTGAAAATAACAGGTATGTAGTTAAGAGCGATATCGAAGAGAGATTCACATCTCCAGGTAAAGCGATCAGAGTGACGTGGATCAAACACGGCGTGGACATTAAAATTTATCGGTATAAACTTTACGCTTTACCTGAACCAATCAGTGCAGCATCGTTTCTTAATATTTTGGATGCGTTGGTTTTTCCCCTGCTAATATTTTTTGGGGGTTGTTTTAGTCTGATACTGTACGTAAACAAAACCTTTGTTTTCGCCCCTTTCCTCTGGACCGTTAGGATGTTCCTTCAACAGGGCGTGGATATCATAATTGATCCAGAAAAGGGTGGAAAAGTGTCAAAACTGCGAATATTTTCGGCCCATTTGATCATATCCCTATGGTTATTTACGGCCTTCATAATGAGCGGAATGTTTGGTGGGGAGTTCTTCTCTATCTGTTCGACGCATAGTTTGCCACCTTTTTCCAAAAATTTAAAACAGTTATCCTTAACGGAAAATATTCCCATATATACCTTTACAATTTCTCTTTTCAAAAATGAATCAATGAACAAATCACGACTTACTAGTAGTTTGAGGGACGTTATAATTCCACAAAAACTAGACACGGATGGGTATTCTCCATCATATTTGAAATTGTTGGAAGATATTAGCACAAAAATTAAGTGGTATCGATCTACTGCTTTTTATCTAGCGAAAACTGCCGCGCTTAGGGGAGTGTTGTACATTAATGAAACCCATAAGCACTGGATACCCAAGACATTTGCGGTTATGGATGTTGACAGATATTTGAATTGGTTTGAAATTAGTTTGGGTATTTTTAGGAAGCACTTTATAATCTCTAATAGCGATGCCAATTTTGACACGGATCATGAACCTTGGTATGTCAGCCGAAATTTGTTTGGTGTTATTTTAGAAGAAAATCTAGCCTATTTAGAGCAATCTGGGGTAATTGGCATGTGGGAAAATAATTACGGCGATTCGCAATTTCTAATAGATGTAAAGCGGCAGCATAAAAATTGGGCAAAGTATGGTAATCCGGAGAAGAATTATACCAATTATTTTCAAAGAGTGGTTGTTGCAAGGAATGAAAAAAATTCCGTAGAACTCAGCAGAGAAGGAGTCGCGATAGGATTGGAACAAATTAACATGACTTTTATAATTTGGGCAGTGTGTCTTTCGATTTCTGGGATTGTGTATATGCTAGAAAATCTAAGAAAGTTGAAATTTCCATTCAAGTTGAGTAAGGAGTGTTTCATGTATCAGTTACGAAAGGCTGGACAAATTAGAATGTTCAGATGTAAAAGTAAATGCAGGATAAGGTGTGGACGCAAAGTTTGGTTCCCTTATTCTTGCCCTCGATTTACTTGTCTTACGAGTAAAATTCAATTTCAGGCTGGTTTTGTAAAAAAGTGGAATTTATTTAAGTGCGGTTTACCTTGTGCAAAAACTGGGAAAAAAGTAAAAGGAATACCGGTAAACGGTAAGAAATTACCAAATCTTATTGATATTTAAACAATTATGTATTCTGGACAGAAATTTATACATTGGGAATTATAGAGTAGAATTATTCATAATTTGAAATGTAATTTAACTAATATTTCAACTGTCCACTACAGTGTGAAAGTAAGTTTTGTTAATTTTATTAGTTTGTACCTTCTGAAAAAATGTAAAGACAAATGGAATTAAACTTTATGACAAAGATATTTAAATATTTAAATACTTATTTAATTGTCGAATCCCTCGCACTCGTAAACATTTCTAGTAATCGTGGCCTAATATGACTTTATATTTTCTTTAGTACATAGTTCAATTTAGTTGGATATTATCGCCTCTTTGGCATCCAACCGTGTACGACGTGTCTCTCTCTCGCTCTGCAACTGGATCCTCTTCCATCTGGGTCGCGGGTGTGCCAGGGCTAGTAAAGTGTGTCCCAAGGCCTTTTCGCCCTGTGAGCCTCGTCCACTCACACCCCCCACCTGCGTGCCTGGTGACACCCCCTGCCACACCCGTCCCAGCAACGACAAGCTGAGCCATCAGGCGAAGACGGATCTCGCAGGACTCAGTGCACGGGAGGATCTACGCCAGGAGGACTCCCCCAGGTAGGTCATTGTTTGATATATCGGGGTGGTGACCATGGGGGTGGTTGGTGGAAGAGTGGGAGCGGGGTCGTGCATGGCGGTGGGCAGCGTAGTCGGGGCTACGGGGGTCCCATGACCCGGTTGTGCTATAAGGG